GTTGTACAATATAAATTATTTCATTTGTTGACATACAAATTGTAAAAATAAAATGAGAATTAATGCGAAAAATAAACAAATGGCACAATACATGTTTGGGTGTGCTAGTGATAATGTGTGTGTATGTGTGTGTATCTTTGTGTGTGTGTGTGTGTGTGTGTGTTTTAACTTTAGATCTTTGAGTGTCATTAACGTTTTGTTTGAAAAATGTGATGACCTTTTGGCTTAACTGGGAGTGGGCAAACTGGTAATTTTAACAACGGACTGGTCACTGGTATGTAATATAAAAATATATAAGGAGCCCAATTTCAAATATGTTATCTCGTCCCCCCCCCCCCCCACACACACACACACACATTTTTCTTCTTCTTTTTTAAGACAAAGATTGTTTTTTTTTTCCTTTAAAATATTATAATTAAAGATACTAACCAATAAATACTTTCTAGCGTAAAATCTAGTTTGTAGTGCATAACTCCTCCTACTCATGAGTTTATGGTTAACGCTTTTTGCAATATAGTTCTCCCCCTTGTCTCACTGTTTCCTTAAATTGAATCTTTGACTTCAGGTTCATATTTTCTTTCTTTTTTTTTTTTTTAATCTCTCCTTTCTTTTATTAGGATTTTTGTATTAAATACAAATCTTAAAGTCGTACAATCCCTTCATAAATATACCATATTAAATATAAATTGTTTTTTTTTTTTTTTGCAATATAGTTCTCCCCCTTGTCTCACTGTTTCCTTAAATTGAATCTTTGACTTCAGGTTCATATTTTCTTTCTTTTTTTTTTTAATCTCTCCTTTCTTTTATTAGGATTATTGTATTAAATACAAATCTTAAAGTCGTACAATACCTTCATAAATATACCATAGTAAATATAAATTGTCTTTTTTTTTAAAATTGCTATCATATGAGCGTATTATTTCAAGATTTAAATAGCAATACTAATAATGATGACTTCAGCCGAGCGTCCACCATCAGACGGCTGGTACCCAGTTTTTATTAGATGGCTGGTGCACAGCGTTTATTAGAAGGCTGGTACACAGAGGTTATGGATGGCAGGTACACAGTGTTTATTAGACGGCTGGTACACAGTGTTTATTAGACGGCTGGTACACAGTGTTTATTAGATGGCTGGTACACAGTGTTTATTGGACGGCTGGTACACAGTGTTTATTAGACGGCTGGTGCACAGAGGTTATGAGACGGCAGGTACACAGTGCTTATTGGACGGCTGGTACACGGTGTTTGTTGGACTGGTGGTACATAGTTTTTATTAGACGGCTGGTGCACAGAGGTTATGGGACGGCAGGTACACAGTATTTATTGGACGGCTCGTACACATTGTTTATTAGATGGCTGGTACACAGTGTTTATTGGACGGCTGGTACACATTGTTTATTAGACGGCTGGTAAACAGTGTTTATTGGACGGCTGGTACACAGTGTTTATTAGATGGCTGGTACACAGTGTTTATTAGACGGCTGGTACACATTGTTTATTAGACGGCTGGTAAACAGTGTTTAGTGGACGGCTGGTACACATTGTTTATTAGACGGCTGGTAAACAGTGTTTATTGGACGGCTGGTACACATTGTTTATTAGACGGCTGGTAAACAGTGTTTATTGGACGGCTGGTACACATTGTTTATTAGATGGCTGGTACACAGTGTTTATTGGACGGCTGGTACACATTGTTTATTAGACGGCTGGTAAACAGTGTTTATTGGACGGCTGGTACACAGTGTTTATTGGACGGCTGGTAAACAGTGTTTATTGGACGGCTGGTACACATTGTTTATTAGACGGCTGGTAAACAGTGTTTATTGGACGGCTGGTACACATTGTTTATTAGACGGCTGGTAAACAGTGTTTATTGGACGGCTGGTACACAGTGTTTATTAGACGGCTGGTAAACAGTGTTTATTGGACGGCTGGTACACATTGTTTATTAGACGGCTGGTTTATAAACTAAATTCACTCCAGTTGTAGCACCCGGGGGGGGGGGGAGGGGGTGCTTTATTGTCCCAGTATGGTTTTACCCTTAGAATCTATGTAGTCTAATTAGAAATACCAAATCAAATGTAAAAGGAACATAATATATTTGTAAGATCAAGAAAATCATTTAAAAGACTAACATCCAGTATTGTCATTGTTTGCTTGCTTTGTTTATTTGTTGTTGTTGTTTTATGTGAAAGATGTTATTTTTATCCGGGTTGGGGGGAAACTGAGGTCACCGATTGCTCCCAAGCGAAAGTGGAACGGGGTAGCGGCTCAGAAAATTTTATAAATTCAAGATTAAGGATGCATTTTGGCGCATACCTGGGAGTGAAAGTAGAAATTTAGGTTTCCCTTGAATTGGTTGCATTTTAACAATCCTTAATTTAGCCTTTAAAATTAATTTTGTTTTATAATATGTTAAATTGTTCAAACTAGTAAATTATCAGCTAATGTTTTTGCCTTTGTTTTTGCTGTATATATTCCCGTCAAAAAAAAACGACTCCGTCACACACAAAAATCAGTGCTTAGATCAACATAAATGAGAAGCATTTGCTTCAACAATGAGCACTGCAAAGAAAATTTGCATCAAATACGAATATGGAGCCAGTGTTTAAAGAACGCCGCAATTGGATAAGAACGGGGCAAGTTTCAATATGCATCTGGAGACGAGGCATGACAGAAACCTAAAGAATCTTTCAGGATAGAATATTTCTTTTGTTTAGTAGGCCAGACCTTGGGGTCATTGAACTTAGACCTTTTTGGATAATGTCGCCATTGCGTACCGTTATGGTTTTGAATGTTGAATCTGTTGTAAGATTTGGCACATATAATGAACAATACCTAACTTGTAACAAAGGACCAGGCAAAACAGCGTGCAAAGAAAACGTTACCAAAGCTAGTAGTGATACTAACAATATTCAAGTTAATTATAATTATATCATTAAATTTCTATAAAAATACAAATTAGAATAAAGTATAGATCTACAAAAACAGGGGGGGGGGATATCAGCTCACAGCTACGCAAGTGGAAAGTTACACTTCTCAAAAATACAAATATTAATTTACACACATAATTATATAACGTCTCGTATTTGTTAATAAATAGAGGCGTAGAGATAGTGATGTTAAAATGTATCTCGCCACCCCCCCCCCCCCCCC